CAGTTCCTGGATTTTCCAATTTTGAATTTTTCCATTTTGCACTTTTTCGTTTTTAAGTTTCACAATTTAGATTTTTCAATTTTTCATTTTTTCAGTTTTCAAGTTCTCGAGTTCCAATTTTTAGATTTTTCAATTTGTTTAATGTTATGCTTTTTCATTTGTTCGTTTTTTTATTTTATTTTAATTAACAATCCAAAAATCAAAAAGCGATTTTACTATTTTTCATTTTTTCTTTAATTTTTGAATTTTTTTCATTTTTCACAATTTTTCGCTTTTTCAAATTTAATTTTTTCAACTTTTCGTTTCTTCAATTTTCAAGTTTTTAAATTCCAATTTTTACATTTTTAAAATTTTTTCATTTTATACTTGTTTACTTATTCATTTTTGATTCTTCAATCTTACAATTTTACAAATTGTCTATATTTTTTTTATTCGAAAAGTTGAAAAATCGAAAAATTAACAGACTAAAAATCAAAAATCGAAAATTCTCGTTCTCCGATTTTTCAATTTTCGTTTTTCGATTATACGAATTTCATTGTTCAGATTTTTTAATATTACAAAATTTTGAACTCAAATTTTCCAAGTTCTTGATTTGATAATTTTGCAATTTTTCGATTTTTCAATTTTGTAATTCTTCTATTTTTTGATTTTCAGTCTTATATTTTTAGAATTTTTTAATCTTTTCTAGTCAATTTTTGATTTTTCAATTATCATATTTTCCAACTTCTTGATATTTCAAAATTTTGTTTCTGGGATCACCGGATTTTTCAACTTTTCGATTTTTCATTTTTCAGTTCGATTTTTCAATTCAATAATTTTGCAATTTTTCATTTTTACAGTTTAATAAATTTTCAAGTTTTCCAATTTTATAATTTTAGAATTTTTATTTTTTTTTTATTTTTAATCAAGTTCAAAATTCCAATTTTAATTTTTCAAGCTGTTGATTTTTCAGTTTAATTATTTTACAATTTTTGCTTATAAATAACGGTATTTAATTTTTTCAATTTCCGATTTTTAATTTTACATTTTTACAATTTTTGGATGTCTAAATTATTATTTGTGTTTTAATTAATCAATTTTCAATTTTCTAATTCTTTCATTCTTAAATTTTTTTATTTTTGAAGTCTTTCAATTTTTAATTTTCCCGTTATTCGAATTTCATTGTTTCGATTCTCCAATTTTTTGATTTTTAACTTTTCAAAATTTCTGTTTTCAATTTTTCAGTTTTTTGATTTTCAATTTGACAATTTTGCAGTTTTTCGATTTTTAAATTTTGTATTTCTATTTTACAATTAGGAGTATCTGATTTTTCAATTTTTCGACTTTAAAATTATTCAGTTTGCAATTTTTGATTTTTCAATTATCACATTTATTAATATTTCTTGATTTTTCAATTTTTCGATATTGGAATCCTTCGGCTTTTCAGTTTTTCGATTTTTTATTTTCCAGTTCATTTTTCAATTCAATAATTTTACAATTTTTCCTTTCACAGTTTCATAAAGTTTCAAGTTTTTCTAATTTTTAATGTTACAATTTTTCAAATTTATTATTTCTAATTCTTCAAAATTTCAATTTTAATTTACATTTTCGATTTTACATCAAAAGATCTTTGGTTTTCTTATATCCTTTATTTTGTCAATGTTCCATTTATTCAGTTTTTCAAAATTTCAATCTTTGGTCTTTTAATTTCTCGATTTTCCAATTTTTAATTTTTCGATTTTTCAAGTGTTCGTTTCCTAATTTTTCGAATTCTTGATTTTTATTTTTCATCTTTCTGATTATTGAACATTTTCTAGAATTTAGATAATAATTTTTTGTTTTTGATTTTTCAATTCCCCGATTTTCCAATTTTTTATTTTTCCATTTTGCACTTTTTCGATTTTAAGTTTCACAATTTTTAATCCTTGGAATTTTTAATTTTTCGTTTCATCAGTTTTCAAGTTCTTGAGTTCCAATTTTTAGATTTTTCAAATTTTTTCATTTTATATTTTTTCATTGGTTCATTTTTGATTTTTCAATCTTACAATTTTGCTAATTTTCCATTTTTTTATTCGAGAAGTTGAAAACTCGAAAATTAACAATATTAAAAAATTTTCTATGATTTTGCAATTTTTGCATTTTTCAATGTTTCGGTTTCATAATTTTTCGATTTTTCAATTTTGTGTTTCTTCAGTTTTCAAGTTCTTGAGTTCCAATTTTTAGATGTTTAAATTTTTTTCATTTTATACTTTTTCATTTGTTCATTTTTGATTCTTCAGTTTTACAATTTTGCAAATTTTCCATTTTTTTATTATTAAAATTAAAAATCGAAAAAATTAACAGTCTAAAAATCAAAAGACTGAAAAAATTGCAAATTGGAAAACTCAAGAAACGAAAAATTGAAACAATGAAAAACAAAAAAATTGCCAAACTTTAAAATAAAAAAAAAATTATCAAAAAATTATCCGAATTTTTAATTTTTGGAATTTTTTATTTTTTTTTTTGTTTTCTACTTGGATTCTTCGAGAATTTTTGGATTTTTTTGGATGTTTGGATTTCTTGGATTTACTTGGAATTTTTGGAGAATTTGGATTTTTTTGGATTTTTGATCTCAAATAAATATATGTTTGGATTTTCCTGGGATTTTTTATTTTTGGGTTTTTGTGGAATTTCTGGAGTTATCTGAAATTTTTGGAGTTTTTGCATTTTTTTGGATTCTTTGGATCTTATGGATGTTTTGAAATATTTGGATTTTCCTGGTTTTTAATCATTTTTTGGATTTTTTTGGATTTACTTAGAATTTTTGGAATTTCATATCCTTTATTTTTGCAATGTTTCTTCGATTTTATCATTTTTCGTTTATATACTTGTCTGATTTTCCAATTTTTAATTTTTCCATTTTGCAAGTTTTGGATTTCCAATGATCCGATTTTTTCATTTTTGGATTTTTTTTTGTTTTTTTACGTTTACTTGGATTTTTCGGGAATTTTTGGATTTTTTGGATTTACTTGGAATTTTTGGAAAATTTGGACTTTCCTGTGTCTTTTGAAATTTTTGGAGTTTTCTGAAACTTTTGGAGTTTTTGCATCTTTTTGGATTCTTTGGATTTTATGGATGTTTTTGAATATTCAGATTTTCCTGGTTTTTATTCATTTTTTGGATTTTTTTGGATTTACTTGGAATTTTTGGATTTTCATGTCATTTATTTTTTCTGTTTCTTCGATTTTATAATTTTTCGTTTATTTACTTGCTTGATTTTTAAATTCCTCAGTTTTCCAATTTTTAATTTCTTCATTTTGCAATTTTTGGATTTACAATTATCCGATTTTTTAATTTTTGGATTTTTTTTTTGTTTTTTTACCTTGGATTTTTCGAGAATTTTTGGATTTTTTGGATTTCTTGGATTTACTTGGAATTTTTGGAGAATTTGGATTTTTTTGGATTTTTTTATCTCAAATATATTTACTCGTATTATAAATATAAAAACCCAGGAAAATCCAAATATATATATTTGGATTTTCCTGGGTTTTTTGATTTTTGGAGTTTTCTGATATTTTTGGAGTTTTTGCATTTTTTTGGATTCTTTGGATTTTATGGATGTTTTGGAATATTTGGATTTACTTGGAATTTTTGGATGTTCATATAATTTATTTTTTCTGTTTCTTCGATTTTATAATTTTTCGTTTATTTACTTGCTTGAGTTTTCAATTCCTCGATTTTCCAATTTTTAATTTTTCCATTTTGCAATTTTTGGATTTCCAATTATCCGATTTTCCGATTTCTCTAATTTTCAATTCATATTTCGATTTTAAAATATGTACTTCGATTTTTCAATTTTGTGTTTCTTCAGTTTTCAAGTTCTTGAGTCCCAATTTTTAGATGTTTAAAATTTTTTCATTTTATACTTTTTCATTTGTTCATTTTTGATTCTTCAGTTTTACAATTTTGCAAATTTTCCATTTTTTTATTATTAAAATTGAAAAATCGAAAAATTAACAGTAAAAAAATCAAAAATCGAAAGACTGAAAAAATTGCAAATTGGAGAACTCAAGAAACAAAAAATTGAAACAATGAAAAACAAAAAATTGCCAAACTTCAAAATAAAAAATATGAATAAAAAAATTGTAAAGTCGAAAAACTGTAATATTGAAAGATGGAAAATTGAAAAATTAAATACTGAGAAATTGAAAAATGAAAAACTGAAAAACTGAAAAATCGAATAAATGAAATTTTTTTTAAAGTAAATTATTATTACATATTTAAAATGAAACTAGAAAAATTGCAAATCAAAAATTGAAAAATCGAGAAACTCAAATATCTAAAATTGGAAAAACCGAAAATTTAAAAAATTGTAAAATCGAAAAATTGAAAACCTAAAACTTGCAAATCGAAAAATTGGAAAATACAAAACTGAAAAATTTCACTTTGAAAAAAAAGGCAAATTATAAAATTAGAACACTGAATAACCGCAAAATTGAAAAAAATAAAAAGCCAAAACGAAAAATTGCACATCGAAAAATTAAAGACACGTAAAACTGAAGAAATGAAAACTTAGAGAATCGGAAAACTGAAAAATTGAAAATTAAAAACCCGAAAAATTTCAAATCAAAAAATTGCAAAAAAAAGTTGATCAAAGGTTATTTCGATTTATTTTTTATTACAGTTTCACATTAACTTTTATTTGTAATTAAAACGCCACTTGACAGATGACTTACAAATTTAATTCGATATGTGTCAACTGCTGACAAAATGTTTTTATAAACCCAAACATTGAAAATTTTCCAAAGATAGGATCACACATTTAAAACCTGTATGAATCATCACATAATTACAATTTGTCATATTCCTGGCGGCATTTACAAGGTGTGAGTTCAATTTAAAAATATGCAACGCACTGAATCACCAAAGGTAAGATCAAAAGATAAATTAGTATCTTTATCACTCATTTTTCATACCTTCACCTTCTCATACTTAAGCACAACAGGAGTGATAGTAATCCCTATTAAAACATCAATGATAAATCATGTACTTATAGATAAACACGAACAATAAAATCCCCAGTTGATTATAAATACAAACACTCGTGTAGTACCAGTCAAAATAAAGCGCTTCTAATGGTAAGTACCCCGATTTGCTACTACAGTACATAACCTAATTTTTCTTAAGTCTAAAGAGATGCTAATCGTTTTTGTCGCGATTTCACTCCTTGGTGGTACCGAGTGTGGTATTCTCTACCCTCGAGCATCCGAAAGTCGCGAATTGGTCACCCTCGACGGTCTATGGAGCTTCGCTTCAACCAACGACACCAACCCCTTCCAAGGACACGTAGAGAAATGGTACGACATTGATTTTCGAGCGACGGACGATGTCGAGATTCGAGCCATGCCGGTACCAGCAAGTTATAACGATGTAGGTACTGACAGTGATCTGAGAGACCATGTGGGACCTGTCTGGTACCAACGCAAATTTTACGTACCGGCGTCGTGGGATGGACTAAAGGTTTGGATTAGGTTTTCATCAGTGTGTCGAGCAGCTGAAGTCGTAAGTACTTTTTCGTGTAATCGAGTAATTTTGTTAAGTAGTGTCGTACTAGTGGGTTAATGGAGAACCTGCTACCACTCACGATATCGGTCACTTGCCGTTCCAAGCCGACATATCAAGTATTGTTGTGTATGGTGGAGAGAACACAATCACGGTGGCTGTTGATAATACTTTACTTGAAGCGACGATTCCTCAGGGGATTGTTACAACTCTAGAAAGGTGAGTACCGTGGAATAAAACGAAAGAAACTCACGCGTGGTTTCAGTGGACGAGTCAAACAAACCTACACTTTTGATTTTTTTAACTACGCGGGGATTGATCGTCCGGTCGTACTTTACACAACTCCACAAACTTACATAGACGATGTAACAGTTATAACCGACATTGATGGTACCAATGGTTTTGTAAACTATTCAGTGGTTGTCGAAGGTAGCGACACCGTCACTGCAAGAGTCAGTCTTTTCGATAAAACAGGTACCGAAGTGGTTTCCGATACGGTACTACAAGGTACTCTCTTCGTCCAAAACGCCAACTTGTGGTGGCCTTACCTCATGGACCCCAACCCGGGTTACTTGTACACCCTCCAAATCCAACTTATCGATCCTTCTGGTACTCTCATCGACAAGTACTCGCTACCCATCGGTATCCGTACCATCACTTGGGACTCGAAAAGTGTGAAAATCAACGATAAACCCATCTATTTGCGTGGTTTTGGTCGCCACGAAGACTCCGACATTAAAGGCAAAGGTTTAGATTTACCTTTGATCATTCGGGACCACAACCTGATCAAATGGATCGGGGCCAATTCGTATCGTACTTCCCACTATCCGTACGCCGAAGAAATCATGGATTTGGCAGACGAATTAGGGATCATGATCATAGACGAAAGTCCGTCTGTCAATACCGAAAACTTCACGAGTGAATTACTCGAGAATCATAAAAAATCGCTGACTGAGCTTATTCAAAGGGACAAGAACCGACCCGGAGTCATAATGTGGTCGGCTTCCAACGAACCCCAGACGGAGTACGAAGAATCTGAGGACTACTACAGGCAGATAGTTGATCATATCAAAAGTTTGGATGCCACTCGACCTGTGACAGTTGTCAATGCGCAAGCACCAGACGATGACCACTCTGGGCAGTTTCTAGATGTAGCCTGTTGCAATGTGTACCATGGATGGTACGAGGAACCCGGAGATCTCGATGTGGTGGTCACTGAAGTTGTGAAAGTGGCGAGACGATGGAACGAACTTCACGATATACCGGTGATCATGACGGAGTATGGGGCTGATACTTTGGAAGGGTTTCATTATGTAAGTTTCGAACGAAACTATAACTTTAATAACACGATTTTGCAGCTACCGTCGTACATGTGGTCAGAAGAGTTTCAAAATAATCTACTGAGTAAGTACTGGCAGGCTTTCGACCAAATGAGACAGGAAGGTTTCTTTGTTGGTGAGATGATTTGGAATTTTGCTGACTTCAGGACAGATCAATGTAAGAAGGATTTTGTGTGGAGGTTTTAGTCGACTTTGAATTTGCAGCGTTTATACGTTTGGGAGGCAACAAGAAAGGGATTTTTACTAGAAACAGGCAACCGAAGGCTAGTGCTCACTTGCTCAGGAAACGTTATTGGGCTTTGGCGCAGGATTTGGACAATGCTGAAGTACCGGACGACCTTGAGGACTACATTTACGAAAGTACTACACTACGAGATGAACTATGAAATATTGTACTTTAACAATGCGTTCATTTTAATAAAAAGTTTACATATTTTTCAATGATTTTAATATGTGTAGGGTGGTGTACCACGGCTACTAGGCCTCTGGAAAATTCCCGATTCTCAGATAGTTCGTCCCTATTCTTGGAGACCCCTTTTGTGTTGTTTTTGTAATTTTTTTTCGATCTTTCTAAATGCTTTTGATTTTTCGAGACTTTAAGAGATTATTTTAATCCTTCACATCATTTAAATCTTGGAAATCCTTCCAACATCTAAATCTTTGAGGTTTGAATATATTTTAAAACCTTATATTCTTAGATCCCTGAGATCCTATAGGATCCTGTATAGCTTTTAGATCCTTTAGATTCTTTACTTTCTTTGGGTCCTTTTGTATTCTGGATGTCCTCTGAAGTGTTTAGCTAACCTAGATCCTTAAGTTTATGACGCTTCCACATTTTTTATATCTCTGAAGTACTACTGTAGAACATGTAGTATATATAAGTATTTTTAGGTTCTTTTAATCCTTCTAGATCTTCTATATTATCCGAAGACTATCGCAAAGCTATAGATCGTCTAAATTTCCAAAATCATGCAGATGCATCTAATACTTTAGATCCTTTAACTCTTCTAGAGATTTTAAACTCCTTATATCCTTAATATCTTCTAGATCATTTAGACTCCTCATCTTTTTTGGATCCTTGAAATCCTTTAAGATCCTGCAGTTTTTTCTAGATACTCTTATGTCCACTAAAGATAACCTAGCTCATCTGAATACTCTAGATCCTTTATTTCTGCTGGATTATGTAGATCCTTCACATCATTTAAAATGTCAGCCTTTATATTTTGTAAATTCCTGAACATTTTTAGGTTCTTTGAATCCTTCTAAATCTTCTATGTTATCTGAAGATTTGGCTAATCTATAAATCCTCTAAATTCCCAAAATCATGTAGATGCATCAAATATTTTAAATCCTTTTACTCTTCTAGAGATTTTAGACTCCTTATATCCTTAAGATCTTCTAGATCCTTTAGACCCCTCACCTTTTTTTGGATCCTTGAAATCCTGTAAGATGCTTCAGTTCTTTTGGATCTTTCTCGATACTCGATGTCCGCTAAAAATAATCTAGATCATCTGAATACTCTAGGTCCTTTATTTCTGCTAGATTATGTAGATCCTTCACATCATTTAAATTGTCAGCCTTTACATTTTGTAAATTCCTGAATATTTTTTAGGTTCTTTGAATCCTTCTAAATCTTCTATGTTATCTGAAGACTTTGGCTAATCTATAGATACTTTAGATTTCCAAAATCATGCAGATGCATCAAATACTTTAAATCCTTTTACTCTTCTAGAGATTTTAGACACCTTATATCCTTAAGATATTCTAGATCCTTTAGACCCCTCACCTTTTTTTTTTGGATCCTTAAAATCCTGTAACATGCTTGAGTTCTTTTGGACCTTTCTAGATACTCCATGTCCGCTAAAGATAATGTAGATCCTTCACATCTTTTAAATTGTCAGCTTTTACATTTTGTAAATTCCTGAACATTTTTTAGGTTCTTTGAATCCTTCTAGATCTTCTATGTTATCTGAAGCATTGGCTAATCTATAGATCCTCTAGATTTCCAAAATCATGCAGATGCATCAAATACTTTAAATCCTTTTACTCTTCTAGAGATTTTAGATTCCTTATATCCTTAAGATCTTCTAGATCCTTTAGACCCCTCACCTTTTTCTTTGGATCCTTGAAATCCTTTAAGATCCTTGAGTTCTTTTGGATCTTTCTAGATACTCCATGTCCGCTAAAGATAATCTAGATCCTTCACATCATTTAAATTGTCGGCTTTTACAATTTGTATATTCCTGAACATTTTTTTGGTTATTTGAATCCTTCTAGATATTCTATGTTATCGGAATCTTTGGCTAATCTCTAGATCCTCTAAATTTTCAAAATCATGCAGATGCATCAAATACTTTAAATCCTTTTACTCTTCTAGAGATTTTAGGGTCCTTATATCCTTAAGATCTTCTAGATCCTTTAGACCCCTTACCTTTTTTTTGGATCCTTGAAATCCTGCAAGATGCTTGAGTTCTTTTGGATCTTTCTAGATACTCCATGTCCGCTAAAGATAATGTAGATCCTTCACATCTTTTAAATTGTCAGCTTTTACATTTTGTAAATTCCTGAACATTTTTTAGGTTTTTTGAATCCTTCTAGATCTTCTATGTTATCTGAAGACTTTGGCTAATCTATAGATGCTCTAAATTTCCAAAATCATGCAGATGCATCAAAAACTTTAGATTCTTTAACTCTTTTAGAGATTTTAGAGTCTTTATATCCTTAAGATCTTCTAGATCCTTTAGACTCCTCACCTTTTTTTGGATCCTTGAAATCCTGTAAGATGCTTGAGTTCTTTTGGATCTTTCTAGATACTTCATGTCCGCTAAAGATAATGTAGATCCTTCACATCATTTAAATTATCAGCTTTTACATTTTGTAAATTCCTGAACATTTTTTAGGTTCTTTGAATCCTTCTAGATCTCCTATGTTATCTGAAGTTTTGGCTAATCTATAAATCCTCTAAATTCCCAAAATCATGCAGATGCATCAAATACTTTAAATCCTTTTACTCTTCTAGAGATTTTAGACTCCTTATATCCTTAAGATCTTCTAGATCCTTTCGACCCCTCACCTTTTTTTTGGATCCTTGAAATCCTGTGAGATGCTTGAGTTCTTTTGGATCTTTCTAGATACTCCATGTCCGCTAAAGATAATCTAGATCATCTGCATACTCTAGGTCTTTTATTTCTGCTAGATTATGTAGATCCTTCACATCCTTTAAATTGTCAGTCTTTACATTTTGTAAATTCCTGAATATTTTTTAGGTTCTTTGAAACCTTCTAAATCTTCTATGTTATCTGAAGACTTTGGCTGATCTATAGATCCTCTAGGTCTCCAAAATCATTCAGATGCATCAAATACTTTAAATCCTTTTACTCTTCTAGAGATTTTAGACTCCTTGTATCCCTAAGATCTTCTAGATCCTTTAGACTCATCTTTTTTTGGATCCTTGAAATCCTGTCAGATGCTTGACTTCTTTTGGATCTTTCTAGATAGTCTATGTCCGCTAAAGATAATCTAGATCATCTGAATACTTTAGATCCTTTATTTCTGCTAGATTATGTAGATCCTTCACATCATTTAAATTGCCAGACAATATATTTTGTAAATTCCTGAATATTCTTTACGTTCTTTGAATCCTTCTAGATCTTTTATGTTATCTGAAGACTGGCTAATCTATAGATCCTCTAAATTTCCAAAATCATGCAGATGCATCAAATACTTTAAATCCTTTTACTCTTCTAGAGATTTTAGACTCCTTATATCCTTAAGAACTTCTACATGCTTTAGACTCCTCACCTTTTTTTGGATCCTTGAAATCCTGTAAGATGCTTGAGTTCTTTTGGATCTTTCTAGATACTCCATGTCCGCTAAAGATAATGTAGATCTTTCACATCATTTAAATTGTCAGCTTTTACATTTTGTAAATTTCTGAACATTTTTAGGTTCTTCGAATCCTTGTAGATCTTCTATGTTATCTGAAGTCTTTGGCTAATTTATAGATCCTTAGATTTCCAAAATCATGCAGATACATCAAATACTTTAAATCCTTTTACTCTTCTAGAGATTTTAGACTCCTTATATCCTTAAGATCTTCTAGATCCTTTAGACCCCTCACCTTTTTTTTTGATCCTTGAAATCCTTTAAGATGGTTGAGTTCTTTTGGATCTTTCTAGATAGTCTATGTCCGCTAAAAATAATTTAGATCAACTGAATACTCTAGATCTTTTATTTATGCTACGAAGATTATGTAGTATTGCATTTTGTAAATTCCTGAAGTCCTGTTAGGATCCTTTTTTTACGTTCGTTGAAAATTGTTTGTAGGGATGTCGGGGATCCGTTGCTTCTGATTTTTGAAGTGGTTTAAAAAAACCTCTGGGACCCCTTGTGCTTGTTTTTTCAAGTAGTTTGAAGGATCTCAGGGATCCTTTTTGTTTTACAGTCTCTAGTTTTTTTAGTAGTTTGGGGGGATACCTTGTTTCCGATTTTTTAAGTAGTTTCGAAGTAGATCACCTCGCAAACTCTTTGTTTCTGAAGTAGTTTGAAAGAATCTCGACGACTTCTTGTCCCTGGATTTCGAATTAGCTTAGGGGGACCACTTTTGTTTTATTTTTAAAGTACATATTTTGAAAAAATATTGGGGTCATTCGTCTTGTTTTTGAAATAATTTGAAAGAATCTCAGGGACACCTTGTACCCGGTTTTAGAAGTAGACTGAAGGATCTCGCAAACTCTTTGTTTTTGAAGTAATTTGAAAGAATCTCGACGACCCGTTCTGCTTGATTTTTCAAGTAGTTTGAAGGATCTCAGGGATCCTTTTTGTTTTGCAGTTTGAAGGTTTTTTTGTAGTTTGAAGGAATCCCTTGTTTCTGATTTTTGAAGTAGTTTAAAAGAATGTCAGGATCCCTTGTTTCTGATTTTTGAAGTAGTTTGAATGAATCTCGGAGACCCCTTGTACCCGGTTTTAGAAGGATCTCGCAAACTCTTTGTTTGTGAAGTAGTTTGAACAGATCTTGGAGATCCCTTGCTATGTTTTTGAAGTAGTTTGAAAGAATCTCGAGGGCGCCTCGTGTCTGAATTTCGAAATAACTTGGGTGGATCCCTTTTGTTTGGTTTCTGAAGTACATATTTTGAAAGAATCTTGGGATCCCCAGTCTTATTTTTGAAATAATTTGAAACAATCTCGGGGGTCACTTGTGTCTGGTTTTTGAAATAGTTTGAAAGAATCTCGGGGACCCGTTCTGATTGGTTTTTCAAGTAGTTTGAAGGATCTCAGGGATCCTTTTTGTTTTGCAGTTTGTAGGTTTTTTAGTAGTTTGAGGCGATCCCTTTTGTTTTGTTTTTGAAGTAGTTTGAAAGAATGTCTGGATCCCTTATTTCTGATTTTTGAAGTAGATTTGAAGGATCTCGCAAACTCTTTGTTTTTGAAGTAGTT